TATATATATATATATATATATATATCCCAGTGTTGTGGCTACGTCCTGGTTTCATACAATTTCTACATATACATATTATGAGGACTACTTATTGAGTGTGGCACACATTGATTCTATATATCCTTATTGTGGGGACTACTTCCTGAGTTGAAACAATTTCTATATTTCCTTACTGTGAGGATTACTTACTGAATCTGGCATATATTATTTTACAACTACATGAAAAAAGAACTAACTAACTTACAAGTTCGTTTTAAATATTGAATCAATTTTGTGAAGATACTAATTACGGCCTTGTGAGTAGTTGTTCCGTTGAACAAGATTGTTACGAACAGGGTTTGAAAAAAAGTACCTTTTTTGTTAAAAATAAAACTTGAAATTATAGCAACAGTTTTTTACATATATTTTCATTAGAGCAAACGAATGAGCTTCAGGTAATTCAGTTCGCTTAACACCATCACTACTAGGCCTTGTTTTCACACTAGTTATGAAACAGTATATTACAGATTTCTTTCTTTTTTAACCAAAGGTAAAAATGAAGTATAATCTGTGATGTAGAGACCTAATGCATTCTTAGATTCGCCGCAACCTCAAAACCCCCATAAATGAGCCTATCTTGTCGACATTGTGAAAATATTAGCACTAACCAAACCTAGCCCCCTGTGAATCCTTCCCTAAACTCGTTATCACTAACAGTCCTTGTTGGGTCTTCAGGCCTACTTTTTAAGTTACTGTTACTAGACTTTTATTTTTCTAAACTAAGTTACTCAATTTACTGTTTTAGTAAAATATAAAAATGCGGCTGAAGATATACAAAACTGTATTATCACCACCTTACCGAACCAGTCGCGTATCGGTCGTACTATAAATATATAATTTTAATAACTAAAAAATAAAGTTATAGTGGAAAATAATAAACGTGTGTGTATATGGGATATATAATTTTATAAACACAACTACACTACACATTATACACAGTAACACATTATGAGTTACGTTCTGATGTGGAGACATCAAGCATATAAATATACTCACATTTTGCTCTTCTTCAGGCTTGTTCATCACTTTCATGTTAACAAACATTTCACAAGAACAGTAAATTTCTGAGACTCAAGTATAGTGATTTCTTGTAGATTAAAATTTCAGCCTGGAATGACACGGTTAAAATACTTTTTAAAGGAAGAGGTTACTTCGTGTTGCTAAGAGACGAAAATCATCTACAAAACGGCTCTGAAACAGACACAGGTACTCAGCTCAGGATAAACGACTGTCATTCACGTTACGACCAAAATGTTGAAGAGTTATATGTTAAGTTTTAATAAACAACAACAAAACTAACTTTAGTCCCACATCAAAAATGATTTACAAAAGTGACTCTTTGTTTCTAACCTTCACCCCTGTTACTAACCGACCAACAGGGTTCGCGAATAAAAGCACGCTCCCTCGTGTTACCCACTTCCTGTGAACAGTCAAAGCGTTCTGGTCAAATACCACAGTGCCCGAGACGCATGGCTTGTAAGGTTAAATAAAAATTTGTGACGCACCAATAAGGAGCAAATTTCTGTTCTAACCATGCAAAAGATATAACTTTATGACGAGAAACCACGTGGGTATTTTTTTATACAAATGTCTTATATGATGTTGAGTTTCATCGTTCTGTATTCGTTAAATATCAGTGTTACGTCAAAAACTGGGATAATGCAAGAGTTATATCACTATACGGTATTTATATCTAAATATATTCTAAACTCGAGCATTCTTGACAAGCTGACGCAACAACAGACATATTTCTCTTGTGACGCACTCACGTGACGTAACACTTAGGTATTATTCGTGCAAATGGAACGTACGAGTTCTCTCACCTGTTAAAGCGAAGTACTTTACGTCACAGGTGGCGAATGAGTATAGGTTTGATAGTAACGTAAGATGATTCACAGTTGTGTGAATAACTACCCTTTGTATACGGCATCTTTCTTGCTACCCATTTTTTTTTTTATATTCTACTACATAGTTTTCTCAATTTTCAGGCGTGCAAAGAACAATAGAATTCAAAGAAACTGTATGACGCATATAGTTTTACAGCAACAAAGTTTTCTTGCATCCCACATGATGCATTTCCTCCACGTCATTCAACTTCCATTTTAAAGTATCGTCATCGTACAATTAGATGACAATACTTTAAAATGGAAGTTAAATTTAACTATAGCGTTAATTGGTAAAATCACGTATAATAATTACGATTAAATCTATCATATTAATGAAGATTATCATATCAGTAATGGTAACAAAGTTCTCGATGATTCTAGACGCCAGCAACGTCTATTAAGGAAGCCATATGCCAGTAATGTCTATTAAGGATGCTAGATATTACTAATCTCTGCTAAGTTATCTGAAGAATGTTGGATGCCAGTAATCTCTGTTATATGAAGTTATCGCATCTACTAAATTCCCAAGAAAGACCCTGGATGTAGGGAATAACATGTACTAAGTTCTCTACAAGGGTTCTGGATGTAGGGTATAACATGTACTAAATTCTCTGCAAGGGTTCTGTATGTAGGAAATAACATGTACTAAGTTCTCTGCAAGGGTTCTGGATGTAGGGAATAACATGTACTAAGTTCTCTACAAGGGTTCTGTATGTAGGGAATAACATGTACTAAGTTCTCTACAAGGATTCTGGATGTAGGGAATAACATGTACTAAGTTCTCTACAAAGATTCTGGATGTAGGGTATAACATGTATTAAGTTCTCTGCAAAGATTCTGGATGTAGGGTATAACATGTACTAAGTTCTCTACAAAGATTCTGGATGTAGGGTATAACATGTACTAAGTTTTCTACAAAGATTCTGGATGTAGGGTATAACATGTACTAAGTTCTCTACAAGGATTCTGGATGTAGGGAATAACATGTACTAAGTTCTCTACAAAGATTCTGGATGTAGGGTATAACATGTATTAAGTTCTCTGCAAATTGTCAGAAAGGTTGGTAGATGTTAGCGATGTATAATAAGTCTACAGTATATATACATATATAAGTGTGTGTGTGTAGTTTGCTCCCCCCGTAATTAAAGCAGGATAGTACTTACCTATTCTACCTTATGTATCAAACCCCTGTGCACAATCTTAAAGAAATTCTTAACAAAAATACCTCATTGGACTCAACGGTAAGTCTGAAGTTCTGAAGGCTTATAACGCTAAAAACCGGATTAAGATACCTATGGTGGGCATAGCACGGAAAGCCTATTGTTAGTTTTGCGCTGAACAACAAACAAACATATTTAACAAAGATCTTTCATCAAGGAATGCACTATAGATTTCAATTCATATATATATATATATATATATTACATGTTTATGTGCATCCAAACATGCAAGTTGTTATTAAATGCTGAAAAATAAGGTACAGAGTTGAATTTCAGATAGTACGCAGTACCACTGATGATGTTAAAGAAGGCTACCAGCATAAAAAAACAACAACTTTATGTCATATTATAAATACTGAATATGAAAGTATAGTACATTTTTACAATACCCACTATGGGAGTTTAAAAAATCATGGTATGTACTCGTCCTGCAGGTATAACGGATACTGACAGGAATTTTTCTAGGAATTAACCCTATTGTATTTAGATACTTTCAAGCTTTCGTTGAGTAAATGGAACTTCATGGTTGGATACCTTTTAGTCATCTAGTGGACTCTTAAGAGTACAAGTTTTTGCCGAACAGAATAAATAATTTACTCTTTAAACCCACAAATGTTAAATGTATATTATGGTCACTTATGGTTTAGTCACTTTAGTGGGTTACTTAGTGTTTCAATACATCATCATTCAAGATTAATGTACGTAACTGTAATAGTTAATTAAAGTAAATCATGATTCGTCTTTTCGCATGTTTTCGTGATCTTAACAAATTATTATATTTCAGCTGTAGCTATCTCCAGTTTTACAAATCTGTTTCAAGTATGGAAAATGGCAACTTTTCTAAACTACGAGACAAAAAGCAGCAGTGACTGACCACAGAGTTTTCCAAAAACTGCTTAGTGTAATGGGCATACTTCAATCAACAGCAGTGTAATGGGCATACTTCAACCAACATCAATATAATGGGCATACTTCAATCAACAGCAATATAATGGGCATACTTCAATCAACAGCAGTGTAATGGGCATACTTCAATCAGCAGCAATATAATGGGCGTACTTCAATCAACAGCAATATAATGGGCATACTTCAATCAACAGCAATGTAATGGGCATACTTCAATCAACAGCAGTGTAATGGGCATACGCCAATCAACAGCAGTGTAATGGGCATACGCCAATCAACAGCAGTGTAATGGGCATACTTCAATCAACAGCAGTGTAATGGGCATACGCCAATCAACAGCAGTGTAATGGGCATACTTCAATCAACAGCAGTGTAATGGGTATACGCCAATCAACAGCAGTGTAATGGGCATACTTCAATCAACAGCAGTGTAATGGGCATACTTCAATCAACAGCAATGTAATGGGCATACTTCAATCAACAGCAGTGTAATGGGCATACGCCAATCAACAGCAGTGTAATGGGCATACTTCAATCAACAGCAGTGTAATGGGCATACGCCAATCAACAGCATTCTCTTTTCACTAGCTCGTATAGAACGGTCACCGATCCTAACATGTACTCCCTTGGAAAAAAAATTGCGATCAAATACAAATTCAAGGGTTTAAATTTTTTAGCTGTTAGATAAAGAAACAAATTACTGGCTGAACGAAATATCTAACTTTCCTTCATATACAAGAAACATTCACGTTTAGTCATTCTTGTTATTTCATCTTATTTATTTTTCTACATAAAGTATAATTTCCATTATTACTTATCTTATACTAGTTTTACAGACAAACAATCTTTCCTAAACTGAGACTAAAATAGTATTAGACCACTTTGAGTTTCTAAAGTATCGCATCGGTTGATTACCAATAAATATCATTAGATCATTGGGGTTTAAAAACTGTCGACATTTCACCTTGTCATTACGATCCCATATGTCATTAGACCACGTTGTCTGGAGCCTAAAAACAGATTTTATTTGTTTGTTAGTTATTAAGCACAAAGCTACACAAAGGTCTATCTGTGCTCTGCCCCCCACGGGTATCAAAATCCGTTTTCTAGTAGTATAAGCCCGCAGACATACCACTGTGCCACTGGGAGGCCTAAAAACAGACTCTCTGAAATATCTTATTTATAAATCACTATCTTCTAAATTCAACTAGTTATAAAAAATAGTTCAGTAAAGAAATTCATATTTTAATTGTAGATCAACTCATCTAAATCTTACGAAACCGAATAGCAAATCAAACAATTTTTACACAAAATAAATATATATATATATATATATATATATACACATAGACATCAAAGAAAGCTAGTTCAAATCGCTCTCAACTATTGAAGTACTCTTGGATGTTTAAAAACTTTTTAATAAAACAGACTGGAGTTTGGTAGGGTCCGGAACAACACATCAAGGAATTAACCCCACCCCCCTGCATAAGGTCCAACGATGACCTGCAATTCAGTTCTTAGTAGTACCACCTGATGGGTACTTTTGCCCCCCCCCCCCTACTCCCTTTCTGAGAAAGTTAAATTACACACTCACGCCAAAGCGTCGGTGTACACGTGACATCAATCCTCGTGTGGTATTTCATGTTTCTGACCCTACATTTAAGCACGTGCGCATTACGAGTACATAATGATCAAGCTTTGGTCTATTTGAATATAACTATATGTTGACAAAAACCATAAATGATGGAATGGATAAATGTAGACTCAGTAACTGGTCAAAGTCGAAGGTTATGCATCAAGTGATCTTAAGATCTACCGGAGCCTGCTCACATATGGCGTATGTGAAGTTATGAACAAATACTACAAAAAATAGCATCACGTTTTCTGATATCATATAGCTACTTTTATCTCTGCAGTTAAAATAGCATTTCAAAATAAGCTACAGCTGAATTTTTCTTCATTAAAAAGGAAATTATTAAGGGCTACTTGACCTTGAACCCCGGTGTGCACAGTAAACACAGATTCTAAAACACGTGATACCCCCATGCTGGACATTTCGCAAACTGCCTATTACGAAACGAGTATACGAAGAAAGCGTTTGTTGATAAGTTTTTCAGTACCCGCACCACCTGGTTCTAAATTATGAGACGAAATACCCAGTTTTTCATGCAATAAACAAAATCAGTGCAAGTATCCAAATAAAGTTATTATTTGTAATAGTTTTTATTTTTGGGAGTAACTTGAATGGGTTTCTTCTACTTTGTTTTTGGTACTTTTCCACTACTCCAGGGCGCTCGACTCGCAATCTGCGGGTTCGAATCACCGTCACACCAAACCTGCTCGCCCCTTTCAGCCGTGAGGGCGTTATAATGTGACGATCAATCCCACTATACGTTGGTAAAAGAGTAGTCCAAGAGTTGCATTCCCCCTAGCCTTACACTGCTAAATTAGGGACGGCTAGCGCAGATAGCTCTCGTGTAGCTTTGCGCAAAATTCATAATAAACCAAACCACTAC